CCCCCCCCCCCCCGCTAGGGATTCAAACCTTTAGTTTTCACTATCTTCAATGTTACTAGAAATAATATAATTATAAAGATTTAGTTGTCACCATCATCAATGTTACTAGAAATAATATAATTATAAAGACTAAAAAAGATAAATTTCATGAAATTAAAGGGATTACTTGCGTGATTAAACTCTCTTTAATAATTGTCTAAATTTACTAAAAATTTGACAGACCTGACCGGTGCGAGCGCGACCAACCAAATCGGAACCATCAAGAATGGTGTCGAAGGTCATGGCCTGAATGGGGAACAGCGACTCGATCCCATTCTGCTTCAGCTTCTCCCTCAAGGGATCCGAAATCCTGAAATTGGAAACCGAGTTCGGATCCTCACCCTTGGCAACTTCTTCTTCATCCTCCACCGCAACCTTCTTCGCCTTCTTCTTAACCGATTTCAAACCCTCGTCGGCGGGCTCCACCAGCTCGGAGCTGGTCTCGCTCCTCTGCGGCTCCTCCTCCTCTTCATCGCCCCAACGCTTCTTGCGCTTCTTCGACTCCGAAACGGCGTCGCTCTTGTTCTTCTTCTCTTTCTTCTTTGTCTTGTCCTTTGGGGACTTGCTCGGAACGGCGTCGTTGGGGAGCGGAACGAGGGACGGCATGGCAGAGGGGAAGGGAAGGAAACGGTGCGTTTGAGTTTAGGGTTGTTTTTTGTTCTCCTGCTTTGGGGCGCTGCGGGGTGCAGCACGAGCAGGAGAGGAAAGAGGAAGAGCTAGGTCGAGGTTTTGGGGGTTTTAAAGGTTTCTTAGGAGACGCGTTCTTGGCCGTTGAATTGTGAAACCCTATTCTCCTTCGATCTTGACCGTTTGATTTTAAAACATTAAAAAGCAGTTTACATGGTCCATGTCTCACGTTTTTCGATATTTTCTTCTTTATGTTTTTGTCCGTCAACAAAAAAACCTTACGCATTTTCTTTTATCACCTAAAAATAAATAAACTCTTTTTTACTTTTTTAATCTGTACTTTCTTTTAATCGATACATGCATTAATTATATTTCTTAAAGATTTTTTTTATTTAATTAATAATTAATATTTTATTTTATTATTAAATATGTATTATATATAAATAAAATTTATAATAAATTATATATATATATAAATATTATATTTAAATATATAAATTATATTTAAATTTTACATAAATAAATTTTTTTAATATATAAAATATAATCTAAATTTAAGATAAATATTTTATATTGTGACAAAATTATTTTTAAATATAGATAAAAAAAATTAAGTATCAAAACTTATTTTATAAATAAATATATTAAATAAAAAATTATGTTAAAAATATCACTAAAATCTTCTTGTTGAAGAAAAATTCTTAAAAATATTCTCACTGAAGATAAATTATTTGTGTAACGACTCAACATAAACGCTACACTTCGTGGAATCACTAGCTAGCAACATAACCACTTACATACTTAAGATTTTATACTCATTGTATATAAGTATAAGTGCAACTAAGAACAATTCTATAAATATATACAATATATTTATAGTCATCCAGTATAAAATAATATAAAATCTTAAGTGTTGGTCAAATACTACTATATAGTTCATCAAAAATAGTCTAAGACAAGAGTGCACTGCCAAAATGGCCTTACAACATCTCCATGAAGCTCGCTTTGGCTAACCATATCCTAGTCCCATAAAAAAAAAGATGATAATAGTCTAAATCACACGAAAAACACACAAAGGTAAGCTAGATTTTAAAAAACATTAGTATAGAAAAAAATATTTATACTACTCACCAACATGTAAACCAACTAAAACACCTCATGGTTTACAACATTCACCAAACAACACAACACTAATATGTTTGAAAGTTACACACAAAGACATGTCAAACAATAATATACACATCTAATGCATATAAACACACCAATTAACAACAAATCATGTGCATACCCCCCAACTAATGCAATGTCATGCATTCACCTATAAAGATCTTCTAACTGGCTTAACCCTACCAAACCAACCCAATCATTTTCACACCAAAATACATCCACTCGATCAAACTTAAATGAGATACCAATCCCTAACTTTTGATTTCTCGGGTCTTGCCACCTATACTAAGAAAGTTTTGTTCCACCATCAAGAATAATATAGCTGGGTATAAGTGTATCATGATTTTGGCATGCATTACCAAGTCACATGTGGGGTTAGCCCCCTAACTATCCACAAGAAACTATAATACCCATTTTTTGTATTATTTATTTATCAATGGCATTTTCGTAAATTTTCTTAAAGATAGAGGGTGTTTGAGTAACTCGGAACGGGCTGTTTCAAAAGCAGAACGGGCCGTTCCAAGCACCAAAAATGAACTAGATTTAAAGATTGAGAACGGGCCGAGAGCGGGTCGTTCCGGAAGGAGAACGGGCCGTTCTGCATGAGTCCCGGAACGGGCCGTTCTGGTTTTGGAACGGGCCGTTCCAGTTAGTTTTTTACTAAATAATTAATAAAAGGTTTTAATTAATTAAGAGAGTTTTTTGAGGAATAATGTAGTTAATTTATTTAATTATGTATGTATTTTAAATAATTATCTAATTAAGTGTATCAAGAAAACATATGATTTAAGTTGTAGATTATTAGGGAATATTTTATCATTTTTATATAAAAAGAAGATAATGGTATAAGAAAATTCATAAATTAAGGTTGTGAGCATATTAGGGTTACACTTATTATTTTAATGCTTATGTTTTGCCATTTGTGCTTTGAAGAAACTAAGGAGCTACTGAGAGATAAAAGAGAGTGAGTAATCTCGCTCTGGTGTGTGAGATATCTATGGAATAGTAAGATTAGCCCCCAATCTCATTTTATCATATATGTTGTGTGATGGGAAAACCCAAACTCTGAATATGACTTGTGTTTCCGTGTTTCATATGATTATTCTTTTGTACTCTAATTAAAGTAATTGATAAGTAGTCATAGTAATTCTTTCTAATTGCGTGGGATCATAAATGGGTGCTTATGGATTTTTATGGGAACCCGAAGGATAGAGTAAATTGAATTAGTAAAGAAGAATGTATGTGAGAATGTAAAATGATGACATATTATTGTCTAATCATTTTTATTGATGGTCATATGTGAATTTCATGATTCTGCAAAAATGTGGGTTTCTAACGCTATGTTAAGTGCCATGAGTGGTCATCGGGTGCAAGAGTGACAAAAAGCAAGGGCTAGGGAAGGCAAGTAAATCGTAGTTAATTTATTTAATTATGTATGTATTTTAAATAATTATCTAATTAAGTGTATCAAGAAAACATATGATTTAAGTTGTAGATTATTAGGGAATATTTTATCATTTTTATATAAAAAGAAGATAATGGTATAAGAAAATTCATAAATTAAGGTTGTGAGCATATTAGGGTTACACTTATTATTTTAATGCTTATGTTTTGCCATTTGTGCTTTGAAGAAACTAAGGAGCTACTGAGAGATAAAAGAGAGTGAGTAATCTCGCTCTGGTGTGTGAGATATCTATGGAATAGTAAGATTAGCCCCCAATCTCATTTTATCATATATGTTGTGTGATGGGAAAACCCAAACTCTGAATATGACTTGTGTTTCCGTGTTTCATATGATTATTCTTTTGTACTCTAATTAAAGTAATTGATAAGTAGTCATAGTAATTCTTTCTAATTGCGTGGGATCATAAATGGGTGCTTATGGATTTTTATGGGAACCCGAAGGATAGAGTAAATTGAATTAGTAAAGAAGAATGTATGTGAGAATGTAAAATGATGACATATTATTGTCTAATCATTTTTATTGATGGTCATATGTGAATTTCATGATTCTGCAAAAATGTGGGTTTCTAACGCTATGTTAAGTGCCATGAGTGGTCATCGGGTGCAAGAGTGACAAAAAGCAAGGGCTAGGGAAGGCAAGTAAATCTGTACTCATGGATAATGTTCGAACCCACCCAATTTTAATGGAAAATACCTTATTTGACTGGGTACAGATATGGATATGAATAGTACCAACCACACAACCTTTCTAATAATCAGTTAAGGGTTATAACCCTCGACTTCATACTTTACTCCACATTGACTAAGGACCTAAAAGAGACTCAACAAAATCCACTCCAAGAGTTTCACACCTACTCAAGGAGGTTTTCAACAATTGGCCTTAGAAAGTGCCAAAACAAGATTTCCTATATGGGATCATCACTTTCTAAACAACATATTCTCTTCTAGTCCTAAGTCAATCAACATGTCTTAATGCACGTAACATTATTAGCATCAACACCTCAACATACATCTTCTACATACATTATCCTAGGTTAATGCATATTGAGATCAAATCACATCAATCATGTATAACATACCAATTCTTAACACCTCAACCAAGAATAATATCTCAATGCTCAACAATCCATTCAATAATAGCATATCAATGCTTATTCAACATTCCAACCATGCAATTTTTAGCATATTAATCACACATATCATATAAATGTTAGACAACTTAATCCTAATAGCATATCAATGCTTGTCATCATCACCATACATCATACAACATGTATCAACATACAACTTGCCATAATCAGTTATTGTACAAAGACAACCTTCACATAACTTAACACAATTAGGGTTCCACTAATTTAATCAAACTTATCCTTATCTCATATGAACGATAAAAAAGATTATCTACAACTGTTATGAAAACCTCAAGTTTTAACTCCATCATTTATTACAATGAAAATCACAAAAATTGCAACAATTTGCCTAAATATTGACAACTCGACCTTGGCTCATTAAAAAGGTCATAATTGTGGTCTTAGACCTCCTTTTTAGGTGATTCCAAATATGACACCCTCTACCCCACATGTTATAATACATAAATAATAAATTAAATTGAATAATATGATCTTCATAAATAAATCCAACATGTTCAAATAGAAAGTATTACATTTTTAACTTAACAAAATGACATAATCAATGAAATCATAAGGAATAAAACTGATATTTTCCAAAATAATTCAACATAATAATATCTTCATTTAGTTTTAGCTACCCTCTGATATCACGTGTCATGTTAAAGCAAAACTAACATTGAAGCTTAAGCCTAACACTAACATTTTTAACCTCATGCTGATAATTACCTACATAACAACCAACTAAAACAACACAAAGCAAAGGAAGTGAGAAATACCTCATTCGGACTCACGATGCAGGAATGCAAATCAGATAACCAAACACAAGCAAGGAATACAAGATATAGGAAACATAAACGAACATTATAACCATAGTCATTTAGTCATAATATAATAAATAATAATAGTTACATTATGATGCCCTAATAAAACATCACATATCACAATCGTGTATTGCCGCAAGCTATATATGTAGAGTAATTTAGGAGTACATGTCAGGTCACACCCTTTACGCACTCTCACTAGAAGGACATACTACCGGGGCCTAGTTGGGATAACTAAGCTATGCAAGATACATTTCATGCTCACAAGGGTAGGATTGGGACTTCCAAAATGAGTTATTCCCAAGGTTGGTTCCTAAGCTTTTACCCAATGGACTTTTCCTGGCGGTGTATTCAATATTGTATCCTTTAAAAAAAAATCTTAGGCACATGATGCATGTCAAACAAACACAATGCAATAACATACACATGATCTCAATTCACATATCACATATTCCTCCTATCACCTCATATCTCATGCGTATTCTCAAATACATAAACTAATCATTAG